TAGGGCCTCATTTAACCATAAGTGCCTCTTTAAGGGCCTTATCTCCAAATATAGTCATATGACCGGGCTCCATGGCTCAGCCTGTAATCCCAGGACTTTGGGAGGCTGAGGCGAATGGATTGCCTGAGTCTGTGGGTTCAAGATCCACCCGGGCAACTTGGTGAGACCTTGTCTCTACAATAAATAAAAAACTAGCTGGGCGTGGTAGCGCACACCGTAGTTCCAGCTACTTGGAAGGCTGAGGCGGAAGGATGGCCGGAACCCAGCAGGTTGAGGCTGCAGTGGCCGGGAGTGGCCACTGCACTCCAGTCTGGGCTACAGAGTGAGACTCCAACTAAAAACAAACAAACAAAAAGCAAATATAGTCATATTATGGCTTCAGCATAGGAATTTTGGGGGATATACTTAAGCCCATAACAGGCACCCAGCGTCATGTCACTGCTTATTATTTTGTCCTCCACCAATGTCAACCTCAAACAGACTTTTTTCAAGTCTGGAAGATTGGAAGGGTCTGGGGCTTAGCTGGCTGATCAGGCTCAGTCCTACCAGACTGGTCCTGTACCCCCAGGCCAGACCGGCAGTTATTAAAAAGTCAAAAGTAGGCCCAGCACAGTGACTCACGCCTGTAAGCCCAGCACTTTAGGAAGTCGAGGTGGGTGGATTGCTTGAGCCCAGGAGTTTGAGACCAGCCTGGGCAACACAGTGAGACCTCATCTTTACAAAAAATCAAAAAATTAGCCAGACATGCTGGCACATGCCTGTAGTCCCCCCACTTACTTGGGAGGCTGAGGTGGAAGAATCACCTGAACCTAGGAGGTTGAGGCTACTGTGAGCCTGGACAACAGAGGGAGACCTCAACTCAAAAAAAAAAAAAAATTGGTGGTGAGGTTACAAAGAAAAAGGAATACTTGTATACTGTTGGTGGGAATATAAGCTAGTTCAGTCCCTGGGGAAAGCATTGTGGAGGTTTCTCAATTAAAAATAGAATTACCACTAGACCCAGCAATCCCATTACTGGGTGCATACCCAAAGGAACATATATCGTTCTACCAAAAAGACATCTGCACTACTATGCTTATCACAGCACTATTTACAATAGCAAGGACACAGGACCAACCTGTCTGTCTGTCAACGGTGGTCTGGATAAAAAAAATGTACATATACACCATGGAATACTATGCAGTCATAAAAAGAGCCAAATCAGGAGCCGGGCTCGGTGGCTCAGCCTGTACTCCTGCGCCTTTGGGAGGCTGAGGTGAGTGGATTGCCTGAGCCCATGGGTTCGAGACCCGCCTGGGCAGCAAGACCTCATCTCTACAATAAATCAAAAAATCAGCCGGGCATGGTAGCGCATGCCTGTAATTCTGGCTACTTGGAAGGCTGAGGTGGAAGGATGGCCGGAGCCCAGCAGGTCGAGGCTGGGGTGGCCGGGAGCGGCTACTGCACTCCAGTCTGGGTGACAGAGTGAGACTCCAACTCAAAAAAAAAAAAAAAAAAGAGCCAAATCATGTCCTTTTGCAGCAACATGGATGCAGCTGGAGACCATTATTCTAACTGCATGTTCTCATAAATGGGAGCTGAATACTGGGT